ATTTTTTACAGGCTGTCTCTGGGGGGTCTAATTGTGCTTTAATTATTTTATTGAATGTCACGTATTCTGCTTACCACATAGAATGGTTCCTTCCTGTGGTTACATGTAGTGATGGGCTCTATTATATTTCCATCCATATACAGCTTTTATTATACAGATCTTCCTGGACTTACAGTGGGGTTAAACCCATAGTAAGTTGAAAATGCTTTTAATACACTTAATCTATGGAACATCATAGCTTACTTACCTACCTTAATTTGCTCAGAAAACTTAGATTAGCCTATACAGTTGGGCAAAATCATCTAATACAAAGCCTATTTTATAGTAAAATGTTAAATATCTCATGCAATTTATTGAATACTGTACCAAAAGGTAAGCAGAATGGTTGTATGGGGTACAGATGGTTGAAAGTGTATTGGTTGTTTACCTTCATGACTTTGTGGTTGACTGGGAGCTGTCTTGCTGCCAAACCCAGAATCACAAGAGAGTGTCATACTGCATATCTCAACTCCTTTAGCTATAGATATTACCAGCCCCATTTTATGGATTATAAAATTGAGGCTTAGTGAGATTGAATAATGTCTCATGTTAAATGGCACAATTGGTATTCAAACCTGTCTGACTTAAAACCTATGCTTCAAGCCAAATTTATACTGCTGAAAGTTTCCTTTATTGCAGAATTTATAGTGTGAATTCCCTTATTTCTTCAGAATTGCCCAAATCGGGCTACACCTAATTTGAGCCTGGTCAAGCCAAATTTATACTGCTGAAAGTTTCCTTTATTGCAGAATTTATAGTGCGAATTCCCTTATTTCTTCAGAATTGCCCAAATCGGGCTACACCTAATTTGAGCCCGGTATAGTAGCATTCTTATGGAAAAGAAGATGCCATGTAAACATTTTTATGACTGTGAAGGTGTTAGGCAGGGAGAGTTTGGTTCGTGACAGCAGGGAAGTCAGAGGACAAAGTGAGGAAGGAATTCATTAAAGTAAGAGTGTTAGGGAATGACAGAATAGACTAATAAAGGAAGTTCATTGAACCAGCTACTCAGCAATGGGGCACGACCCCTGCCAACTCCTTAAGCCAGGGTCACCTGGCGTCCAGCGTCTGCTTGCATCTGCGCGGCGTGGGATCTGAGTGCCTACCACCTCCAGGCATTGGGGGAGCTGCAGAGCATTGGATGGAGTGAGATTCTGTTCTGCAAACTTCCTATAGGTAAAGAAGGGAGACTTTCAGGCAGGTTACTAAAGAGCATGACTGTAAGCTGCAGTTCCCCCGTCACCCAGGCGACGTTAATTTGCAAGCCCAGGTGTGAGCTCTCAGCAGCCCCTCCTTACTTGTCTGAGATAGGAGAGTGAAGGTTAAAGCCAGAATTCGGAGGATTAGAATGACAAAGCGAAGTAATAAAACACTACTGGAAAGGCACAGAGACTAGGCGTCTAAGTGAGAAGTTTATTTAAGGCAAAAGGAGCACACTTGTTGAAAGGGGAGGTGTGGGCTGCCCCAGAGAAGAGGCGTCCCTGAAAGGTTGGGAAAAGATTACAAGGATATGCACCTAGAAAGTGCGGGGACCCCAGAGAGAGGAGCGCCCCCTGAAAGGTTGAAAAGAGAGAGTTTAAAGTTAAAATGTTATGTACTTGGAAAGTGCGGGTGACTCCAGAGAGAGGAGCGCCCCCTGAAAGGCCAGGGGCTCCGCCTTTTAAGGATTCTTTAGGAATGTGACTAAGGGCTGGGGGTGCAGACTTGTTAAGTGGTCCCTGAATACTTAGAACTAACTTAACACAAGGAAGTTCCTGCTCTGATTTCTCCCTGGGATCCCGGCATCTTGGTCTGGGAGCGTATCAAACAGCTTGCTTGCCCAGCCCCTAAGGTGGACTGAGTTATTATCTGTTTGCTAAAGAGTAAGTTAAGAATCTTACATTTTTAACTAACTTCCTGGGTATTAAAATACAATCTTTAAGATGGAATCCTTCCCTTTCACTATGTTGTTTACGGCTGGGTCTGCATGCTAAATTAGTTGTCTAGGTTATAAACTACTTAATTAGGGCCTGAAGGAGAAGAAAACAGCATATAGGTAAAGGTAAAAAAAGTAAGCTGGACCTGCATGATTAATACAATAAATACATGGGCTGTGCTGGTACCTACCTGTACCTGGGAAATAAACATTCCAGGCCAAGTTGCTCTTAGCTGTTTGAGCTTTAATTGATTAATTTTGGGTCTTTTCTCTTTTCCACCCCGTTTGTATCTATTTTCCTGCCTAACAAAGACCTCTTAATTCTTGAGGATGGAGGGCCCTTTTTAAAATCAGACTTCCTGGGGTTTTTATTGACCTCATTCATTTTTTTCTGAAGAATAAAGGAATTGCCAGCTTTGTATTTTAAAAAGTGTATGCTTTTGTATATACTTTGTGGAAAGTATGGTTTTCCTTCTATAGTTGAACCAAATAAATATTAGCAAGTATGTTTAGGATGTGACACTGGTAGTTCTTTCTTGTTTTTTTTGAGACTTTTGGCTGATAGCCAGTTTGAAGCTTGGTTTTACTAGTAAAGAAGTCAAACCTAATAAGCAAGCTCTCTTGCTCCCTGGCTGATCTTGGAGTAAGCCTCACTTAAGTTTCTCTGACAATTTTCAGGGTTTGTTTCTGTGAGTCCCTAAGGAGCAGTGTATTCTAACTTGAAAACTGAATGGGTGGAAGTGTGCATTGAAAGCACATAGTTCTTAACCTTTCTGATTATATACTCCTTTTTGGAGCTGTTGAAAGCTGTGGACCTTCTCCCCAGGGGGGAAAATGCATGTTTGCACACAAAGACAATTTTACATGGAAATTCTACAGGTTTTTACTGATCCCAAGCCTATTGACAGAGTACCCAGATTACAAATCTGGGAAGGGAAAAAAAGTAGGGAGCTGAAAAGTGAAATTTGAATATCAGTTCTTAAACTTTTTTAACAAATGTGTATCTCACAACATTTATTTTACTGTGTAACATAGAAATCTTGCTTTGGTATCCAGGATGGTTTATTTAGTCTCTAGTGTTAGTTTTCCCCACGTTGTTAAAAAATAAACATTAGCCAGGATATTCCTGATAAGCTAAGATTCCTAAGGATAAATGAAAAACATGAATGTTGACTTCTGACTTTTGCTTTTTCAATTTTATTTCTTCTACCAGCAAAACATTTTCTCAGACTACTAACATGGCCAAAGATTTAGATGAAATCCCTTGCCAACCCCCAACTTTAGGTTTCCATTTCTTCTTTAACCAAGAAGTTTTTCATAACCAACCAGCTTCTTTCCTTATACTTTCGGATGTGAGTGTTCAGGCATTGCTTTTGGCAAGTTACATGTTTTATTACATTTATTACACAACAGCCTTGTTAAGGACTTACTGTCCCCATGTTACAGAGGTCGAAAGCTACTCCAAGAGGTTAAGTAACTTGACCAAGACCAGTTCTGATACTAAGGGGCAGCGTCAGGATTTGAACCCATGTGGATCTAGCTCCAAAGCCCATTTTCCTTCTGTCTTACCACCCTACTCTATGATCACAGAGTTGACCATTTTTTTCTAATCACTAGCTGACCTGATGTGAATTTTTAAAGCCCAAATTTCCATTAGTGGAAGGGGCTCTTTTTTCTTCTACAGCTAGCCAATTGTAAAATTACTCAATTTTTGTGTATTAAGTTAGACTTGAGGTTGTAAAATGTCAAGAGTGCTGAATTTAGGGGCTGTATTGTTAAACCCAAAATAAGGAAGGGGGCTTAGCTGGGTATTTTCTTCCTGTTCTGTTTATAGGAATGGATGTTTTAATTACCAGAGTCTGACAGAGATAATTCCAGTGACTGAAAAGTTTGTGGAAAGTTTTGTTAATAAACTTAGCATCATTTTCAGGAAGGCAAAACCCTAACGTTTTGAAACAGAACTGAAAAGGCACTTAACTCTAAAGAGTAGATAAGCTTTTATCAAATTGACTAAAGGCCAGATGTGTATTTAACTCTCTTGGGATAGCCATGGGAAACCTCCAGGTCAGCTAGCTGCCTAGTGGTTTTTGCTGAGACGAGGGGCAGGGTCAGCATTCTGGGAAGGTAGTTTGGTTTGCTGCAGAGTTTTGTGCAACTCAGCATCTTTCTTGACAGTTACTGTTTTTCCAAACCTTGTACTTTTCGTAGTTTCAGCCTTTTTATACACAATGAAACAGGAAGAATGAGTATGTTGATTTACTAAATAACCTTAGAGGTACGTTTTTAAGCAAGACAGCACAGAGCAGAAAAAAGTGGATAGACTTCAAAGAGATTAATTGAAGTGATAGGGAGAACAAAGGAAGTTGGATCAGATAATGAAACTTTATAGAGAGGTTATCTCCTTGCCTTTTTAAAAATACAATGATGGAAGAAACAAGTGTGTGTAAAGATATATACATTTAACTCCCACAGTGATGAAACTTGGTATAAAGGAAAATTGAGTTGACTAATTTGAAGATGTGGAAAGACATCAGATGTCAATGTAGGAGAATTATCCTAAGACATACTTTTTGAGTCTTTGCAAATTAAAGGAATGTGTTTTGTGAAATAATTTAACCGAATTCTCAGGAGGTTTCAAAAGGACAAAGTTCAGTGTGAATAATAGGGTTATTAGAAGCCTCTTTGCTTGTATTGTATACATGCAGAGTTAGAATGAGGAAATTGGACTGTTTACCTTTAAAGCTTTGTTTCCTCCTCAGCTTCACCCTCCTTTCCCCTGTGTTTTCCTAAAGCTGTGTGTGGGGCTCTAGAATAGAGGAAGAATAGGTCCTCTCACCTGTCTCCATTTTTTCTTCTTAACCACAAGTTCACAAATGCATTTTCACATTATGATGATCTGTAAAAACAAACAGCTTTTCTGGAACCAAATTAATCTTTGACTTTATGGTTCATACTGTGTGACATAGGAGTGGGGGCAGGAGGGTGGAGATACAAGGTGTTTGGACCCTTCTGGCTTATGGGCTTGTCTTTTTCCCTTTTCCCTCAGGAACGGCGTGAATGTTGAGGGGGCAACACACAAGCAGGTTGTGGACCTGATCCGAGCAGGCGAGAAGGAACTGATCTTGACAGTGTTATCTGTACCTCCTCATGAGGCAGATAACCTAGATCCCAGTGACGACTCGTTGGGACAATCATTTTATGATTACACAGAAAAGCAAGCAGTGCCCATATCGGTCCCCACATACAAACATGTGGAGCAGAATGGTGAGAAGTTTGTGGTGAGTGTCAGCCCAACTCCATCCTCAAACATCTAGCTTTTGTTTTCCCCAATCTTATTTATTACATATATATTAGAGCACTAAATGACTACAACTGAGGCCAGTTGGTCTACCAGAGATTGGTTTACACATAAATAAAAATCACCAACCCTGATTTATTACAGGAGGTGGACTACAGAAACAAATAATTCTATTTCTGCTGAAGAATGATTCCATTTTATTTCCAGACAGTTTAAGTTTGCATTCTGGTCTGTTGTAAACATGTGTGAGTTTATTTCTTTAGTTTCATTCTGTTCTTTTATTGGTTGCCATATCTCTTTGCTAATAACAGTCTCTCCTTATTAACTCTGTAGAGCTATAGAGCGAGATTAATTTTAAAAGGTGGTATATTTCAAAACATGTGTGTTATAAACAGTTTGTCCACATCAGAACCTACAAGTGCCCTACACTCCTCTTCACATCTTGTTGTTTTTCATTTTCTTGGGAGATACCTGTGCAAATGACTAATTCTGGTTTTCCCCAAGGTCCTAATTATATTCTGAATGCAATTCACATAAACTGTATAAACATATACATTTCCCATCTGCTGGTAGTGTAGACATCAGGAGAGCCCGTCTGGAATCCTGGGAGATCTGTGCCTGCCCCTGTCCTGAATGCTTGTTCTTCAGAACCTGATTGCCATTGATAGCCCTATCTGCTTAATTTTTCTCTTGGTTGCGGTATGCTTTATTTGCTTTCAGTTATTTTGAGAGTGTTGATATAAGAAATTCATTATTCTTTGTAGAAAATGCAATAGGTTCTATTAGATATTAGCAAAGAGGCTGCATGTGTTTAAAGCTGACCTGCTGACTAAAGCTTCAGTCTTTGAAACTGAGATTTGTCCCCTGTATAGGAATGAACCAGTATACGTGTTTAATTATTTTTAGTGAGAAGATGTGAAAATCAAGCAAGGGAGCCAGAAAAGTTTCGATTAAATAATGTTTAACTGCATCTGTAATTTAGCTGGAGATGATAGCACAAAGGTTTTATGTCAGCCTGGTCTGTGTGTGCTTCTGGGTATTATGTTTCAGAGGTACTATACTTTGAATCATAAAGCATGTAAGAAATAGAAACCAAGTCAGGTCCTAAAATTAGAGCAGATTGGATGTTGAGACCTTTTTGAAATTACCTAAGACCTTAGGTGTCTCTGTAGATTTGAGAAAAGGAATGAAAATGTAGTAGTAATTTTCCTTTTTTAAAAAAAATCAACTTTATTGAGCATAACTTACCTACAGTAACATTCATCCATGTTAAATGCCCAGGTTCCTGAGTTTTGAAAAATGCAGTTTTAGAATCACTTCCACTGCAGTCAAGATACAGAACACTTTCGTCACCCCAGAAATCCCCTCATGTTGTACTCAGTGCTCCCCCACCGTTGCCCCTGTCAGCTACTGATAAGCTAGCTGTCACTATATTTTGCTTTTTTTAGATGTCAAATAAATGGAATCATACAATATGTAGTCTTGTGTGTCTGGGTTTGTTCACTTAGTTGTAGTCCTTTTAAGATTGATACAATAATTTGTTACTTTTTAATTGCTGATAGTATTCCACTGGATGGATTTACTACAATCTGTTTATCCATTCACTTGTTGATGCATGTTTGGGTTGCTTCCAGTTTAGGGATCTTATGACTAAAGAAATAACATTAATGTACAGGTCTCTATGTAAATATGTTTTCATTTCTCTTGAGTACGTACATAGCTAGAAGTGGAATTATAAGATTGTATGTAAGTGAAAGCTTGACCTTATTAGAAATCATCAAACTGTTTTCCAAAGAGGCTTTACTATTTTTGCATTCTCATCTGTGGTGGATAGTAAGCTCCAAAACTTCTTGAACACTTGATATTTTCTTTTTTTTAAATTCTAGCCATTCTAGTGGGGATAGTGGGATCTCACTTACTGGCCATTCTTATACTTCATTAGTGAAATGTTTGTTCAACTCTTTGGCCCATTTTAAAAACTGGGTTGTCTTATTTTGCTGTAAGAATTCTTTGTGTTCTGGATATAAGTCCTATATTAGATAGATGCTTTGTAAAATATTTCTCAGTCTGTGGCTTGCCTGTTTATTTATTTGTTTACTTTATTTTTAACAGTGTCTTTCAAAGAACAGAAAATGTCCATCAAATTTTGATGAAGTTCAGTTTGTCAGGCTTTTTTTTTTCATTTATGGATAATGCTTTTGTGTTCTAAGAAATCTAACCCAAGAACAAAAATCCTTTATGTTTTGTTGTAAAAGTGTTAGTTTAGTGAGGTATGATTCACACACCATAAATTCAACCATTTAAAGTGTAGAATTCAGTGGTTCTTAGTATACTCAAAGTTGGGCAGTCATAACCACAGTCAATCTTAGAACATTTTCATCACCCCAAAAAGAAACCCCATACTCCTTAGCCATCATCCTCCAAACCTCCCATTCCTTCCCTACTTATTTATGTCTCCATAGATTTGCTTGTTCTGGACAGTTCATAGACATGAAAACACATCATACATGTGTTCAGGGTTTATCCATGTTGGGGCATATGTCAGCCAAATACAATTACATTATCTGGATATACCACATTTAATTTATCTGTTCTTCAGTTGATGGGCATTTAGGTTATTTCTACTTTTTGGCTATTATGACTAATACTGTTAAGAGCATTGTGTGTACAATTTTTTTGTGGCTTTGTTTTCATTCTCTTAGATATATATCTAGGAGTAGAATATTGAATCATATGGTTACTCTTATATTTAACCTTTTGAAGAAATATCAAACTTTTCCAAAGTGGCTGTGCCATTGTTTTCACACTTATGTTTAGGTCTGTGTTCCATTTTGAATTGATTTCATGTACAATACTGTATGATATAAGGGCCAAGGTTCTTTTTTTCCCCATATGGCTATCCAGTTGTTCAGTAACCTGTGTTGAAAAGAATATCCTTTCCCCTTTGAAATACCTTGGCATTATTGTTGAAAATCAATTGAGCATGTATGTACGTTTTTATTTTTGTACTCTTATTCTGTTCTGTTGATTATATGTCTGAACACTTCAATATTTACATCATTTTGAGGTTGTCCTCTGTTTAGTATCCTTTCCCTTGAGAATGGGTCATACTCTTCTGGTTCTTTTGTACAGTGAGTAGTTTTGGATTGTATCCTGAATATTGTAAGTGTTACATGCTGTAAACCCTGGGTTCTGGGATACTCCTCTGAGGAATGTTGATGTCTTTGTTTACCTGGCAATTAACTGTGTAGACTGTGTCACTTCCTGTGAGTTGTACTTCAAGTCTCAGTCCAAATTAGTTCAGCCTTTGACATGCTACTTTGAGTCTGTCCTGCATGTTTATCATTCATGGAGGAATCATCCTGAGATATATGTGGTATTCATTCACAGAATTAAGGCATCCTTTTATATGGTTCTCTCTCCTCTTGAATTCTTCACACATTCTGGTGACACCCATGGTTGCCCAGAATTTTTTCTCTCTCCTGCAGCCAGAAAGATGTCAGATTTCTCTTAGAGTTTTAGTTGCTTAAGTTATGCTACTTTGTGACTGAGGCCACTATCAGTGCAAATCCCCTTCAAAGCAGGAAAGACCCCACCTGTGGGGGGGCTTCATGCTTTGACTTAGCTTTCTAGCTTAATGTATTATTAAGAATCCTTAGGTATTTGGTTTTTGTACTTTGTCCGAAGTTTATGTCTTACTACTGACCCAAGGGTTAATCTGTAGGGTTTATACAGTAATACCTGAAACACAATCTTCAGTTCTGTTAGTTTTTTCCTTATGTTTTTTGAAGCCATTATGTTTTCTTGATGAATTGATCCTTTAACATTATGAAAAATCTTTCTTTATCCCTTGTAATATTCTCTGTCCTTACATACTTCACTGATTCTTACATATAGCCACTAATAGCCACTTCAACTTTCTTTTGATTATTGTTTTTATTGGATATCTTTTCCATCCTTTTACTTTCGTTTTATGATTTTTTTGTATCATTAATATACAATCACATGAGCAACACTGTGGTTACTAGATTCCCCCCATTATCAAGACCCCCGACATACCCCATTATAGTCACTGTCCATCAGTGTAGTAAGATGCTATAGAGTCACTACTTGTTTTCTCTGTGCTATACTGCTTTCCCTGTGCCCCTTCACCACCTTATGTGTGCTAATTGTAGTGCCCCTTATTCCCCTTCTCCCTCCCTTTCAATCCTCCCTTACCAGTCCCTTTCCCTTTAGTAACTGTTTAGTCCATTCTTGGGTTCTGTGAGTCTGCTGCTGTTTTGTACCTTCAATTTTTGCTTTGTTCTTATGCTCCACAGATGAGTGAAATCATTTGGTACTTGTCTTTCTCTGCCTGGCTTATTTCACTGAGCGTAATACCCTCTAGCTCCATCCATGTTGTTGCAAATGGTAGGTTTATTTTCTTATGGCTGAATAATATTCCATTGTATATATGTACCACATCTTTATCCATTCATCTACTGATGGACACTTAGGTTGCTTCCATTTCATGGCTACTCTAAATAGTTCTGCGATAAACATAGGGGTGCATATGTCTTTTTGAAACTGGACTTCTGCATTCTTAGGGTAAATTCCTAGGAGTGGAATTCCTGGGTCAAATGGTATTTCTATTTTTAGTTTTTTGAGGAACCTCCATATTGCTTTCCACAATGGTTGAACTAATTTACATTCCCACCAGCAGTGTAGGAGGATTCCCCTTTCTCCACATCCTCAGTAGCATTTGTCATTCTGAGTCTTTTTTATGTTGGCCATCGTAACTGGTGTGAGGTGATATCTCATTGTGGTTTTAATTTGCATTTCCCTGATAATTAGTGATATAGAGCATCTTTTCATGTGCCTGTTGGCCATCTGAATTTCTTCTTTGGAGAAGTGTCTCTTCAGATCCTCTGCCCATTTTTTAAACAGGATATTTGCTTTTTGGGTGTTGAAGCATGTGAGTTCTTTATATATTTTGGATGT